AAATACTGCAAGAGAAATATTAAAGTCGGCAAGACATATGTATTTAGATGCCAATTTGATTTTCCTAAACCAGTAAGAGATAGTATTTGCATCAATGATGTTGAAAATAGCTTGAAATCATGCAATAAAATATATTATTTCAAACGAAATGAAATAGAAGTTCGAGTCAATGACTACAACCCTTTACTGTTGAAATTGTGACGTGCAAATATGTACTTGATATACATAGCAGAGAGGAGTCTTTCCTTAACAGAGTATGTAACTGGATATGTCACTAAAGCAGAAAAGAGTCACGCACAGGACTTATGGGATGAAGTCAGCAGCTGTGACAACATATACAGCAGGCTTTGGAAAATTGGACAAAAATTACTTCGAGCTAAAGAAGTAGGACTATATGAAGGTAGCGACCTTCTTGGTGAAAGTTTATGCATGAAATCAGTAACCGTACTGTATGTTAATGTGTACTTGCGTCATAAGAGGAGCAGAAAAATCAAAAACTATTCATATTTAACTAAAATGGATCAATCTTTTAAAGACATTTTTAAGCCTAGCATAATTGAAGACTTTTATCCAACAAGACCAAATAACATGGAAGATGTATCTCTTTACAAATTTGTTGCTAATTACAAATTTGATAGAATACGAAAAAATGGAGAAAGAGAATACAAACTTCGATCAAAGCCAGTCCGTCCAAACCATAGGAAATTTAATCCTATGCAAGAAGCGGAAAAAGACGATTTTTATTACTCGCTAATATTTTTATTTGTGCCTTTTAGAGACGAGAGCACACTTGTAATGGAAGGAGAAACAATGGAAGAAGCTTTTAGGCGTCACAGAGAAGCATCTATACGTGGCATTGAAAATCATTTCAACAAACTACAGAAATTATTAGAAGCTGGAAGAAAATAGTCGATGCAAGAAATAAAGCCAGTTTTACTGAAGAACTTCCTGATAACAAGGAAGATGATGAGCCTCAATTACTAGGTGAAATAATGGAAGCAGTAGCTGATATTGCTGACATTCATATAAATGTACCTAATTTAACATTAGAGCAGAGAGGCAATGCTTAATGTACATCAAAAAAGAATTTTTGATAAAATTAAGAGTCATCTTATAAGTCGAAAAGAACATGAAGACTTATTAGAGAATGAGTCTTCAAGACTACTTAGATTAGATAATATCGAACCACTAAGGATGTTTATTAGTGGTGTAGGTGGAACTGGTAAGTCATTTTTGATATAGGCAATAAAATGCCTAGTGGATGACATATGGCATCCAAAAAGTGGTGAAATTATGTGTGCTATAGTAGCACCAACAGGTATAGCCGCATTTAATGTAGGCGGACTAACAATACATAGATTATTTCAGCTACCAATAGAGCATGAGGGAAAGACAGCTGGATATTGGGCTTTGAATAAAGAAGCTCAGAAAAGAATAAAAATGACACTTAAAAATTTAAAAATTATAATAGTAGACTAGGTATCTTTGGTATCCAATCTAAATCTAGCATACTTACACATGTGCTTAGAAGATATATTTGGTACTGATGAATGGTTTGGATCTAAAAATATTTTATTTGTAGGTGACCTCTTACAATTGCCACCAGTTAATGGGGTAGGCCAGTATTTAAAAAAATTAGCAACAAACTTGTAAAAACTAGACTTGGAGCAGCAAATGCAGTTAACATATGGAAAGAAACAGTAGAATATGATGAACTAACAATCAATAAGCGACAGAAAGAAGATGAAACTTTCTTTAAGATGCTTGATTCTGTTAGGCATGGCTGTCTGACTGATAAAACTATTGATACGCTTAAGAGTCGCGTATTTAAGGTTTCAATATAAGAAAAATATAAGGAATTGGAAAGTGAAGGAACAAATCCTCCAATTTCCCAATTTTCTAAGGTAGACGCCTGCCAAAAAATCAATGAATTAATGTTAGAAGGTCTAGAAACTGAGAAAATAGAATTAGCATGTGTTGATGTTGTTGATGAAAGTGGCAGCACAGCAAAATTTGACAAAAAACAAGAAAAAAATTAGAGAAACTAAAGGATCAAGCAAGCAAAACAGCTGGTTTAGAAACTGTATTGTCTTTACCTGTAGGCTGTAGAGTAATGCTAAGACGTTATATTGATGTGACTGTAGGATTAGTTAATGGTGCCATTGGTACAGTAATGGGTATTTATGCTACACGTATATCAATTAAATTTGATCATATTGATGTACCTTGTGACAAAGAAAGGGTTACATCTAGATCTATGCTATCTAAGAATTTGTATATACATAGGAAACAGTTTCCCCTTATACTTTCTTATGCTATTACTATACATAAATGTCAGGGCCTCTCACTAGATACAGCCATTATTGATTTATCGACTGATGTTTTTGGGGATGGTATGGCATATGTTGCATTGTCTCGTATACGCACATTAAATGGATTACATTTATTATCATTTGATCCTCTCTCTGTTAAAGTTAGTAATCTGTGCATTAACAGAATTGACCGCCTCAGAAGTAAATTTCGGAATGACTTACCTCAAATCAAGAAAAGTAAAGGAAAGAAGAGAAAGATTCAAGTGACTGGTATAATTGATGATGGTCAACCTTGTAGTAAGAATGCCAAGGTGTTTGTAAGTCATGTACAAAGTACTAGTAACAGTACTGTTAGTAGCAATAAACGTAAGAGTACTGATCTACAAAAGTCTAATCGCCCCAAAAAGAGTAAAATATGTGACGATAATGCTTTAAATAAGCCTTGCCCCCAAAAAAGAAAAGTTGATGTAGACAGTAGTACTGACAATACTGCTTTGGTAGTGCCTCGCTCAAAAAAAGATGATTAATTAATTGTTTCAATTAATTTGAAAGACCTAAAAACCAAATTAAATTAATGTCAAAGATGATGATAGTTGTAGTAGTCTCATTGTATCTATAAAACTCTCAAATATTAAATGTAAACCAAAAGATGATAAAACCAAGTGTGTTGTAAAAAATGACCATTGTAGTAGTAGTCTGATTGTATCTATGAACCTCTCAAACATTAAATTAAAGACAAGTAATCCAAAAAAAGATGATGATATCATCTTTACTTATGAAGAGACTCCCAACCCAGATATTGTGAGAAGGAGACAATGGGATTATGTTTATTACCCTGGTAATGAAGAATATCAAAGAAGGTGGTGTGAGATTTTAAATCTCAAATTTGTCACAGCTGCTAGAATCTTATCTGGTAGTCCAACAACACCATTGTCAGATGAAAGAGTTCCTAATAGTACTCTTGATGTCCCTGGTGATGGGAACTGTTTACTTTATGCCCTTTCATATCTCATTACTGAGTCAATTTCTCAGCATTACGAATTACGTAAAGCAATTGTTAGTAATATGCCAAACTTTGAAGAAGAATTGTTTAATAGTACATTAAGTGCAACCAGATATTCAAGCATATATGATTCATAAATAAGTCCAAAATGTATAGAAATTGTGTGTGGGCCACTGACAGATTATTACACTAACTGCAATATCAGGTACAACCATATATTGATATTCACTAACTCCTACTTTTGTTGGCTGGGCTAGATATGGAACCCAAACTTTATATGGCATTCCTTGTGATACTAATACACCTGCTTTGTATTTGAAGCATGTTGGTTCTAATCATTTCTAAGCAGTTAAGTCTATTAATGTTTCTTAAGCATTGATTGATGATGGAAGTGGGTATGGTGTATGGGAGGTCCATCGTCTTAAAAACATTGGTTGTTTAATGTGACTTATATTTCACTCCATGTGCAATGTGAATGATGTGTGAGTGCGAAAACCATTGGTGCATATCCACCAAGTATTGTTCAGTATCAAGGGATCAAACTGCATTCAAGATGTGAGATTAATCAATGTATAACAGTGAATATTGATTACTTGTTGCTATAATGGACAGGGAGAGGGTGTGAAAGAGGTTTGGTGTTCATTAGAGTTTTGCATTGATTCAAATTTGTGTGACTATCTTTTATGTAGGACAGAGGGTTAGGAAGCGAGGAAGCTGTCATTATCAAATCTGGATCTTGTTTGTGGCTTGTACTACATGTTTATTACAAATAACAGGTGCTTATGGATCTGGGCACTGCTGAAAAAATTTTGAAGGAAAAAAATTTTCGAGTAAAATTAAAAGTCGTTATTATACATGTAGTATTAGTCAAGCAGTGATTCTGTACACATATTAATGATCATCATGCATGTTAATGCTGCGATCAATGCTGTGCGCATTAGATATATGTAAATGCTTGCCAGCTGATGTTGCGCATAATGCTGCCATCAATGCTGTGCGCATTATTAAGTTAATGCTTGCTGGCTGATGTTGCGCATTTGAATGATGCTGCCATCAATGCTGTGCACATATTAAATGCTTGCCAGCTGATGTTGCGCATGTTTTGTTGATGATTGTTGTAACATGTGCATGTTCTCATTAACATAAAAATATTGTTTGCTCATTAAAAATTTTTCATGTACACAGTATTATG